AGGAAATCACTACCACTTCAAGTTTCAACAATCTGACAAAAGCATAACCCATTTATCCTAAGAAATCATCATCATTGTCACCATCTTCTTCATTTATTACTATTAAAATTGCTGATACTACCATCACTAACACAGTTATATTATTTTTGTTGCTGTCATTATCAACGTCACCATTACGAGGAAGGTGATGAAGAATAAGATAAATTGCTTTGGTCCCCAAGAAATAAAGCAAATGCTTCTTTAGAAAACAGGAGGTCTTTTCCTTCACTGTAAAGCACTAAGGAAATAACTTTCTGCAAACATGCAAAAGAAAAGTCTGAGATTGACTAATTTCCCACCAAGATTACTCAGAACCCAGAAGGCCAATAGGAGGTGCCCTTTATATATCTCATCTACAACATTATTGTATTGTTCTATGATCGCCGCCTCTACAGTACTCTGAATTGTATCCATTACAGTGAAACAACAATAACTAAACAATCTGATGACCAATGTAGAAAAGCAACCAAAATAGTTAGACTAAATTCTAGCTGGGATTGATCTAAATTGTGTGATAATCTAGAAGATCTTAGCTAGAAATGGAATCAACCTAAGATGATAAGTTGATAACTGGGTGGAAGTTCTTCCTTGATCACCTAAGTAAGGTGCATTAATTTGATGATTATAGACCAAGTTTACAGTTCAAAAGCTCCACATGACATGAACTTTTCTCTCATGCATTCCAGCATCTACTTAAACTTGGAGATAAAGTTGATTGGAAGCATTTCCCCCACTCTTTCTTTGAAAGAATATGCCAAGGATTATGAATAGGATGTCTTTAGATGAATCCACCCCTTGTCCCCCACTACACTAGGTAGGGACAATGCATAATACTAAGGCACCGTGTTCTTTGGAAAGAGTGAGAAGAACAATGTTATCTTATGCAGTTATTCTATTCAAATTATTTCACTTTATTAAACCACTATCTCATCTCTGACATTCCTTTGGCTTGTGAAACAGTGTCATCACTTCTCCTTTGTTAGGAGAAATGGAAGTCTTTCTCAAGTGGGTGATAGATGTTCCACATGCATTTGAACTCATCCCTATAATGAATTCTCCAAGGTCCAAATTATAATCTAAATCACCTTAACCTTACCATTCATATGTAGAGATACAACACATATTATATATATTTTTTGTATTACAAGAGATATGTTAAAAGATGCCCATGTTCTAATTGGTTGTGGGTGAACTTAAATATACCCATGTTTGAATTTTTTATTTTGTAAAATTCAAAAAAAGCACAAAATTCTAAGGGGTTGGGAAGCAATATAGGAGGAGAGAGAATGAGCTGATGTGGACAACTGTGTTATAAGTGCATAGAATAAATGGTTGGACATTTGTATGTATGGATTTACCTGTTTTTAAAATAGCCCTACGTGGTGCCATGTCAAAGATACGTATGTACAATCTTGTAAGGATGTGAGTTTTCAAATATACTTCCATACTTTGTCCTTAGTGTTAGAGAGAAGCATTAAGATCCAAGAGATTCTAAACAGAAGAGTTAAAAAAAAAAATAGTTCTAAGAGAAGACAATCTACTATAAGTTGGGATTTGGGAGTCTGTATCATATCATCAGAGTACAGAGGCAAGTTACAAGTTGATGTTATCATCCATGTGCATTGGACGTGTCCTCCACTTTTATTATATGAACAATATTATTATTTTTTTGTTTATATGCAGTACAGTTTTGCTTTGGAAATTAAGTCATAAAATTATTATTTATGATATTTAGACAAAAAGGACTTTTGAACTATAGCCCTTTTCAGTATAGAAAACCATTTTATTCCAAAGGAGAATCAATCTTAGGCTCTTAGCTTGCTTTTGCAACCATAAGTCATGGGTTTAGTCCTTCTATTTGGAGTAGATTTCAAGGACCACCACTACTCAAACCCCTACTGAACTGGGTTTACATAACTTTTCTACAACTCTTGCTATAATAATGTGGTGGTATCCTTCTATTATGAGTGAAACAACAGACTGTTGGCATTTCATTTTCATTTGCACTTTTAAAAGCGGTTCCTTAGGCTGCATTTGAATGCAGTGTAAATACCAGACCGGAGGAGTTTTGCACTCATTGGTTTAAAAAAGTGGCACTTATCGGTGTAAATATTTACATCATTTTTATGAGAATGAAATTTCCCTCGATTATCGATGTAAAACTCGACCAGTGAGGAGTTTTACATCGATTTTCGGTGGTAATTTACATTTCATCCAAACGGCTACAAAACCGGGCCAAAGTGGGAAACTCCTCTGGTCCGGTATTTACACCGCCAACAAATGCAGTCTTAATCTTTTTGAGTTTTCTTAGGACTTGTAATGGTACAACTTTTCTTGTTTAATTTCAACTTTCGTTGGAATTTGACAAGGGCTGGAGAAGAAAAAACAAAGCAACTGGAGAGGAACGTTGCTTTTGGGAAGAGAACTTCTTTTTCAACCATGTACAATCTTGTGTTTCTTGTATATTTGTTTGTTTTCCATTTACTCTTCTCTAATTTGTTGCAGCACTATCAATCTACACGATCATCCTTCTGTGCAACAGGCTGGAGCAGGAAAAATTCTGCAACCAAGAAAGCTGAATGGTCTATCAATTGAATGGTTTTTCTGACATCTAAGAGTCAGAGTCCTATTGGGTTTAGGCCATTATCTTACTTCATGTCAGTCATTCATACCAAGAAAACAAAGGCATAGTACATCAACAGTCAGAATAGAGCAGATAATATTATACCAACATTTTGAAGTACGTTGTCTCATACTATCAGGATATCAGGACCTTTTCTGTAACAGTGTAATGGGTTAACCAAGAAAATTCTTGTAAATCCGGTCACCAGTTACTCTTCTGCACATATCAAACCTCTTGATGCGCTGTGCCCTGTATTCCATGGTGGCTGTAATTCTGTAAAAAAAGCTCCCAAAGCAACAAACAAGGATGAAGATCATATCAGTAGAATCATTGGTCAAACCTATATATGGCCTATGGGCCAAATCAATGATAAGAAGTTAAGAATGGCAAAAATGGTGGGGACACATTGTTGATTGGCCGTAGAACAGCTTGGATTATCTTCTCAGAACAGAGTTCTGGGTTTTCATCTTTTTTTCCATTGTTGTTAACTTGTATGTGAGAAGTCCTATCATTTGGATGGTGAGGTTGATGAGAATGGTACCCACGGTACACATCTAGATCCTATATCTCATCCTATATGTCAGTTACCAGACTTTCCTCTTTCCTTTTCTTAATGGTGAACCAAGGGTCGTCTGGTTGGTAGGAATAGGGATCTGGAATCAGATTGATTGGGTGAAATGTTTATCAAAAAAAAGGGAGATTGATGGTTCAGCCCAGGGTCAGAATTTTTAGGCCCAAAGTACAGTTGGAGTGGGTGCCAGCTTGGAATTGATGCCAATTCACAGGCGGCATTGGTGTGTAGAGTGGGGGTTTTTAACATTTTAAATGTTTATAGCTCTGCAATGAAAATCAGAAATTCGCATTGGCCCTGTCCGTACTTCTCCGGAAAAAAAAAAAAAATTGGTTGGGTGGAATGCGAGAGAATGTCCATTCCGGCCTTCCCCTGGAATGAAAGTCTCCTTCCAACCAACCAAAATAGAAAAGACAAATGACTTAAACCGCCAACACTCTTTCTCTTTATCTCACACCAACCCTCCTTAGGAGTCGTCCATATCTTATGGAATCTAGAGATGGCAATTTCTACCCTACATGATTACCTAGTAGATACCCGCCCCTACCCATTCCATCAATTGAGATTTTTGCTTGAAAATTGGATTTTGGAACAAAAACGGGTTTTGGGATTTTACAGCTCGTGCAGATACAGATAGGGTACAATATTAGATTAAACCCGATCCCCGACCCTTTCCAACCTGCATATTGTTGGAACTTGAATGGCATGTAAACTTATGTATTAAGTGTTATATTTAATAATATTTTGAATTTTATATGAAGAAAAATTAACAGTTTGTGCTTTTTTGCATGTTTTAATCAAATAATTGATTTTTTTATGTTTATTTATGTTATTTTACTTGTTTATTATTTATATATAACATAAAATAACGGAAATTAAGGCTATGTTTGGTTTGAAGGAAAAAATAGGAAAAGGAAAGGAAAACTATATACAGCCTAAATGCAAGTTCTAAACCTAACCTGTCAATCCAATCCACCCCATCCTCCAATGTGAGGAGGTAGAATGTTTGGATTTTAAAAATCCATGCCATTCAGGGTCTTTTGGTTCCTAATTGGAATGGGAATCAAAATATCCTGTAATTGAATCGGAATCCCTTGTACCTACTGCATTTCTTTTTGTTTAGAGCTAAATCGAAATTGAACTCCATTACGTATGGGTTCGAAGAGAGTTGTGTAAATCTAGACCCTACCTGTTTTCTTAGGCCTCTCATCTCATATCCTTTTCAAAACCCACAGTGGCTTGGTTGGATTTTTAGAATCCAAAGATTCTACGAGCTTGAATCTGTTACCCACGAGATGTTCCCACATCTCTATCTATGACTGTCCATTGAGAATATCTCTTTTGTCATTCATGGGGAATATTTCTAATACATGATGGTTATTTATGAGTATCGAGGCATAACTTGTGTGGGTAGCATCTCCGTCTTACAAAATACTCAACCTTTTTGATTCTGAAGAGAGATAAACATGGTCCAGGGCTGATAAACGAGATTAAACCCAGATGGCTAATTCTGATAGGTGTAAGACTAATACTTATAACTTACTCTCCGATGTTTTATCTCAGCGGCATAATCTATTTCAATTTCTAAGGCGAGAGATCCCAAAAATTCTGAAACCAAAAGCTTCCAAACCACTGCGTTACACTTTTTCCAATACAACGCACGTTTGTAGGGTTAAGTTATAGTAACCAGGAATTAGGTCTCTCTCCCTCTGCTAAACCTTTTCAACTTTATTAGACCCCCCCATCACTTGGCACTACCTGCTTCACATGCACCCTCAAAAACATAACACTACAAAACGCCAACGTGAGTTGAAACAACCAGCCAAAAGACCGCCCTCACAAAAGCACCACGTGACATCCTTCTCAAACCCAACTTCCTACACGACAGATGCCACTAACATACAAACTCTGTTTATATTCAAATATTCTTGTGCTTGGGTTGGGCTCCTCTCTCTCTCTCTCTCTCTCCTCCCACTTTTTAGTCTTCTCTCCATACCGAAAACTCCACGAGCTCTCACTCTTTTGGCAGAATATTTTTCTTAGGCTTCACAGGAAAGGTTTTTCCTTCTTGCTGGTCGAAGTAGGGGGGTGTTTCGAATAAGGTGGAGTCGTGGGGCGTATTCTATGCAGAGATGCTCGACTCAAATAGTGCTCCAAGTAAGCTCTGGCTGGTCTTAGAATGACTATCTGATAATAATGGTTATGAAAACGATAATATACGTCCTAGGAGCTCAAAGCTGCTTAAAACTGAAAACTAATGCATACCTTTCATGTTTTGCATTCTTGGTTCTTTTAGTAATTGATTGGTGCTTATAGTGGATGTCAAGTAAGTTCTTTCACTTGTAGGTTTCCTGCAGAAGTTGATGTAGTTTAAAAGTGTAAATATAGATGTAAATGGTTAGAATTGCCCGTTTAAAAGTGACTCTGTTATGAGAAATCAAAATACAGTATAACTGCACCCCTTTTTTTTATCTTTTTGGTTTTTCTCAAGCCATCTGTTCTGGCTTCATTGAATTTAACTTGCTTGTACTTGTTTAGTTTGTTACAATAAAGTTGATTGGTTTTTTGAAGTTGTAGCTATGATGTTTGAAACACATAAAGCAAATGAAAAGATTACAAATGAGATTAATAGAAAGATGTCTTTGCTTCTTTTACCATATGCAAGCTGCAGGGTGATTACTTTCAGTACAATTCACAAACCTGTGTAGTACCAAGATTGTTGCTTTGCATATAGTCTTGGTCCAAGCCTCTGGTCTCCATGGCATCCATGGTTGGGATGGGGGATAGAAAACAAATATGAGATTGTTTTTTAAATGCTGACAAAAATATGAGCTAGCATTAAGATGTCTTTTGTAGTTCTGATAGATGTGTCTCTCAATCAATATTATTTCTATAGTTGAATAAATGCTATGTACTTCTGTTTCAGGCTTATATCTGTCACCTCCGTGATTCTCTTGCCCTATAAAACCAATTTAGTAGCTGCACTGCATCTATATATGCAAACTATTGTTTCCATACAGAGTTTCATAGGTTCTATCATCTCTTGATGGCAATTTAAACCAAAGAGCAAAGATTATATCAAAAAAAAAAAAAGAAGCAAAGAGCAAAGAGGAAATTTAAGGTATTAATCAGGAACTGCCATATAATTGATCAGAAACACGATGGTTTAACGCAGTTCAACGTTTAAGGACTAAGGAGTGGAATGCAGATAAAATTGTCTCAGTTTGGAAGGAGTACAAATACAAATATGCAGGGTGCAAAACCCTGTATTTTGTATGTATTTGTACTGTACATATTTGTATTTGTACTCTTTCCAAACTGAGCCTTAGCTACAAAATGACAAATTTTTTGATATTTACCATCCATATAGCCACATTCTACATTATTGACCCAAAAGGAGTGGGATGCAAATCAAACAGGATCTGACCATCCTAGGTTGGTTCATGTAATGATGGACTCTACGTAGAATTGTCTCTGTGCATGGGTATCATGGCAGTACGTAGAATTGTCCCACCTCTTATATTCCAATGGGTATTGTAGACATTTTCAACACATTTACCTACAAGAACAAACTGTAACAGAAAAACAGACGTAAAACTACAATTAGTCCATGAGTGGTTTCTGAATAAATCTGCCATATGAAGATGAAGAAATAGTGATTGAACATGGTTAAGCTTCTTCATGGAATATGTATCAGTGATTGAACATTTCAAACTCCTATTGCTTCTTAGTGCTCAGAATTGTAGAGCAGAACTGCTTTTATATTATTGACTTGAACTACAACTTGCTTTTATATAGAAAGACACTGAACATTGAAAAGTAATGGTAGAATGTGGGAAGTCACTAAACAAAACCCTTTTGATGCTCCTTCTATGTAATGGTGGGATGGTTTCATTGTGTAAGCCCACGAAGTGTGGTAAGGCGGTGATGGTCAGATCTCTGAAGATCTAGGAAATGGCTTTGATCTGAAGCAAGAAAGCAGGGGAGGATAAAGGGGAAAGAAGGGATTTTCAGGACACCAAAGGGCTGTCTATGTACCCTCCAACGAGGGACCAGGCCACCATAGTTCACTGGTTCTGGGTTTCCGGCAGAGGAGGTTGAAGACTGAGAGAAAGGGAGGAAAGGAGAGCTCCTAGAGATTTAGGGTTTCTTTCCCACAAAATGGGACCCGAGATTTAGGGTTTTAAAATAGGTAAATTCCTCAAAACTTCAATTCTTATTAAGCTTCTAAGGACTGGGTTCTAGATGGGCAGGAAAGAATTAACCTTGAAAGAGATAAGTTTGTAAAGTAAATGGTAAATCCATATGGAAATATCTTTCTTTTTTAATTACTTAAGAAAGATTCTACAGATATAAATACTCAGTATCCAATACAGGCCACTGACAAGAGTACCACAAATGTGCTTCCAAGTTTTTGTCCAAGACGCTTCCAAATCCTTCCACAATTTTAACCTCATCAATAACATGAATATGCACAATTAGTATTTAACAGCATAATCTATGCTTATAGGGACGGTAATGCAAAATTCTAACTTAAGCGACAATATGTAGATCAAGGCATTGTTGCAAGGACTCTGACTGATTATTACTCTTTTTAACAAGAACAATATGCAGATTAAGGTTCTAAACAAGTAAAAAAGATAAAACTATCAGGTTTCGTCATCTGTTTCCAGATAGATCCTTTTGTCAGATAGATTTTAAATGGAGTTACAAGATCCAAGCTGAGGTATCAGATGTGTAACAGGAAAAGCTTATTAGTTCATTGTAAAACATTGCCAACTTGGCTCGGCCTAGTATTCTTATTACAAAAACCCTATCATCAAAATCAAGTCAATTCGTATGAATCTACAGAACATGGCACTTGGTGCAAAATACAGTTCTACCAGAGGAAACAACAAGAGCCTAATCAATAACTTCAATTGATATTAGCTATTTAGGCAAGCTAATAATCCAGTTGTGGACATGAAAAAGATGAAGAGGTTTATCTTCAAAGACCTAGGATAGGATGACAAACAGATAAACCATGGAAAATAATAACTTCCAATGACAACAAAGGCACATGAAATTAAATCACTTTTCGTTCTTTTGTTATCCATTGACTAACTTCATCACTCAATGTGCAGAAGATTATCAACTTCTTCAATATTATAGAGCATGGCTACAGTTAAGCTCACCTTGTTTCTGGGAGGATGTCAGCATAGTTCTTCAACTTGGGTTCCTTGGAAGTTTATTAATCTACCTTCTACAGAAAATATTGAGGGAATCATGCACGCGGAGATCAAAAACCACAGAGAAAGGGGCAAAAACATACTCCTCTGGAATAAGATTTGGCCTCTCTTACAAGGCCAATATATGTTGCTCCACTTTGCTATTCGGAAGTCATTTGCTCATACTTATAATGTTGTTGAAAGGGAATGGGATCCATTGCAAATTTACAATGACAGCTCTGTTGGCAGAAACCATGCAAATAATATCATGGTTGATTACATTATCTGCACTGTTCAATATATGGAGGGCAAGATCCTTAAAGCTTCCATTCATTCTACGAGCCTGGTGGGTGTACAGCTTCTTGCAATCCATTATCTGCATTGCCCTTGATACTTATTACATCCTTACAGATCAAGGGTCACCTACAATAGGAGACTATGGTGACTTGGTTGGTCTCTTTGCCTCCACCTATCTTTTTGGTATTTCAATCAAAGGGACCACAGGAATCCACCTCTTTGAAAATGACATCACAGACCCACTTCTGGATGGAAAAACTGAAAAGCATGCAGAAGAAAATAGGAAATCTCCATATGGCAGAGCTACTCTTTTCCAACTAATTACATTCTCTTGGCTAAACCCACTGTTTGCAGTAGGAATCAAGAAACCCCTCGAAAAAGATGAAATCCCCGATGTTGATACCAAAGACTCTGCTGGATTCCTCTCACATTCTTTTGATGACAGTCTAAATTGTGTTAAGCAAAGGGATAGCACCACAAACCCATCCATCTACAAAGCAATCTTTCTCTTCATCAGGAAGAAAGCAGCAATCAATGCAATGTTTGCAGTGATCTGTGCTGGAGCATCATATGTTGGCCCATACTTGATTGATGACTTTGTGAAGTTTCTAAGTGAGAAGGGACAACACAGCCCATGGCACGGGTACCTTCTAGCATTGGCATTTCTAGGTGCCAAAATGGTTGAGACAGTTTCCCAGAGACAGTGGATCTTCGGGGCCCGCCAACTAGGTCTTCGCCTGAGAACTGCACTGATATCTCAAATATATAAGAAGGGCCTGCACCTGTCAAGCCAATCCCGCCAAAGCCATACCAGTGGAGAGATTATTAACTATATAAGTGTGGATATACAACGCATAACTGACTTCATCTGGTATGTAAACACAATTTGGATGTTACCAATACAAATTTCCCTTGCAATGTACATTTTAAATATGAACCTGGGTACTGGATCCCTAGCTGCTCTAGCTGCAACGGCAATAGTGATGTCATGCAACATACCCATTACAAGGATCCAGAAAAGGTTCCAATCCAAGATAATGGACTCCAAGGATGACCGCATGAAAGCCACGTCAGAGGTTCTCAGAAATATGAAAACTTTGAAACTTCAAGCCTGGGACACTCGGTACCTCCACAAGCTAGAAAGCTTGAGGAAGATCGAGTATAACTGGCTATGGAAGTCACTTAGGTTGTCAGCAATCACAGCTTTTATCTTCTGGGGATCCCCCACTTTCATCTCAGTTACAACCTTTGGAGCATGTATTCTACTGGGAATTCCACTCACAGCAGGGAGAGTGTTATCTGCATTGGCAACCTTCCGAATATTACAGGACCCTATATTCAACCTACCAGACTTATTGTCAGTGATTGCACAAGCCAAAGTTTCAGTTGATCGAGTTGCATCATACCTCCAGGAAGATGAGATCCAAACAGATGCGGTAGTGTTTTCTCCAAAAGATGAATCAGGGCTTGAGATAGAAATCAAAACTGGAAAGTTCAGTTGGAATCCAGAGTCAAAAAGCCCAACGCTTGAAGGAATAAATCTGAAAGTGAAGAGAGGGATGAAAGTAGCTATTTGTGGGACTGTAGGATCTGGGAAGTCTAGTTTGCTCTCATGCATACTTGGAGAAATACCAAAGCTGTCAGGGACAGTGAAGATCAGTGGAACTAAGGCTTACGTCCCTCAATCCCCATGGATATTAACAGGAAACGTAAGAGAGAATATTCTTTTTGGGAATCCATATGAAAGTGCCATGTATAACAGAACGATTGAAGCATGTGCTTTGATGAAGGATTTTGAGCTTTTCTCCTGTGGTGACCTTACAGAGATTGGAGAAAGAGGTATTAATATGAGTGGAGGACAAAAGCAAAGAATACAAATTGCACGGGCAGTCTACCAGGATGCCGATATATATCTTCTCGACGATCCTTTCAGTGCTGTGGATGCTCATACTGGCACCAAACTCTTTCAGGTTTGTCTTAGTTAGACCGTCTTAGAATCAAGCTTTTAAGGTATCACAACTAGGTTTCAGTTGATAAAAAAATTAACAGAATTGGATCAAACTCCAGTCAGCAGTGATTCTATTAAATATGAATCATTCAAAATCCAAAATAATTATGTTAATCCAACATGATATGTTAATGGAAATGCAAACAGTAGCATCTATTCCAGGCCCATACAAGTCCGACATATAAAACCCACATTCATGACCCATGCCTGATATATGGTTAATATGGGCAAGATAGATTCAATTCAACTGGATCATAACCATTTCCACTAAACTTTAGAGCTAATCAGGTTATTCCCAAATGACATCTAAATTTTAAACGATTGTTGAAGTATGCCATCAATTCTCTTCATGGTTCAGAATTGTAAGATGGATTTGGAAGCTTTCTTTTGCCTATTCTGTGCAGGACTGCCTGATGGGGATCCTCAAAGATAAGACAATACTTTATGTCACCCATCAAGTCGAGTTTCTTCCAGCAGCAGATCTCATCCTGGTATACAAAATGTAGCATAATTTTCCAACCATTTTTGACAATCTCTGTACAAACAGTATGAGATCAAAACTGAAAAGAATCTTCAACAGGTGATGCAAAATGGAAGAATTACACAGGCTGGAAGGTTTGAAGAACTTCTAAAACAGAATACAGGATTTGAATTGTTAGTTGGTGCACATAGCCAAGCTTTAGAATCAGTCCTCACTGTTGAAAATTCAAGCAGAACATTGCAATCTGACAGTGAATGCGAGGCAGACCTACACACCACAAGTGCAGGGATTGCTAGGCAGGAATCTGACCATAACCTCTCTCCAGAGATAACAGATAAAGGAGGAAGATTGCTGCAAGATGAAGAGAGAGAGAAAGGAAGCATTGGGAAAGAAGTTTACTGGTCATACATTACTGCTGTTTGGGGTGGGGCCCTGATACCAATCATACTATTGGCACAGTCAACCTTCCAAGTACTGCAGATAGCCAGTAACTACTGGATGGCATGGGCTTCTCCTCCAACAGCTGGGACTAAACCAGTTGTAGAGATGAGTATTTTGTTCCTGGTTTATATACTTCTATCTGTTGGAAGTTCACTTTGTGTTTTGGTCCGAGCCTTGTTAGTAGCAACTGCTGGCCTTCTAACATCAGAAAATTTTTTCAAGAACATGCTCCATGCCGTACTTCGGGCTCCAATGTCATTCTTTGATTCAACACCAACCGGAAGGATCTTAAACCGGGTCAGTATCATATAATCACTTAAGTAGGTTTTCCTGATGTCCAAAAACACGCAGCTTGGTATCTAATGCAGGTTGTCTTGTAATCTTTTTTACACAAAAGTAAAACAGTGTGCTTTTATATGGAAAATATTAGGTACTAAGAAAATTTTATAGGGAAAAAAGTGACAAGGTTATATTATACATTATACTTACAACTTCAGATATTACTTGCAGAATTGATTTGCTAATATATAGGAAATGAATAAATATATTGTAAAAATCTAACTACTCCCAATCAATCAATGTCTATATCAAAGATCCACAAATCAAGCAGTATGTTTATACAAGCAAAACAGGAAGACCAGAAGGACAAAAGGAAACCATTAGTATACATATACATGCAGACAGTACACAAATTCATACATGCATGGATACATATACGCATTTTCTGCATCTGATGCTTCCATTGGAACTTAGAAAAACCTGTGTAATATTTGGCTATCAGCCAGTGTTTTAAAAGCGCAAGGCACAAAAAAGGCAGGCGCAAGGCGCAAGGCGCAAGGTGAGGCGCGTGCCTTTTTTAGGCAAGACGAACAATTAAAAAAAAAAGCAAAAAATTCGAAAAAAATGCAAAAAATTATAAAACATAATATTAATAAAAATATTAACTTAAGTTTAAAATAAATGTTTTAAAAAACCTATTATCTAAAATTAAAATACATAAATATAATATGTAAAGCATATTCATATGAGAATTTAAAAATGAAATCAAACATATAAAACATTTTCAAGCATATAAAACCCACAATCTCTTTTTTTTTCTCAATTGCATCAAGTAGCTAATGTGATATATTACATTCCTAATTCTACGAGCCGCCTTTGTGCCACGCCCCTCGAGGCAAGCCCAAACAAGTCCATGTTAGGGTCTTAAATTCTTAGATTTCACACAAAAAATAATAATTTTATAACCAAAACTTCAAGAACCCCCTATTTGGTAATGTTGTCCATTCATTCATCTTAATAAAATATCTTCTTAAAAGCAATTAAACTATAAAATTATTATTTTTTGTGTGAAATCTAAGAATTTAAGACCCTAACATGGACTTGTTTGGGCTGTCCTCGAGGGGAGTGGCACGGGGGTCCGGGTGCGGAGCCCCCAGCCCAGCGGCCAGACTCAAAAAAAGGGAAAAAGCGGCAAATTTTCAAAAGGCGCACGCCGGGGCTAAGGCGCAAGGCACACCAAGCGTGCGCCTTTTGAGTGGGCTGTGCCTAGGACCTAGGCGAGGTGCCTACCCTAAAATGCGCCTCGCCTGAGCGCCTAGACGTGCCTTTTAAATCACTGCTATTAGCAGGCCCTCTTTCTCTCTCTCTCTCTCTCTCTCAAGGCATCTCAGTTTTACTTCAATCAATGCAGCTCAGGACTTTTGAATTGATAGTTTGATACTGTCAAGGATCTTATTATGCACATCTGATGGTCACTTATTTTATACATTTAATTGTGAACCACATACGTGCATGAGGAACTGGAAGCCCTTAGTACTAACTGACAAATATCTTGACTGCAGGCATCTACAGACCAAAGTGTGCTAGACCTGGAAATGGCAGGAAGATTAGGATGGTGTGCTTTCTCAATAATACAAATTCTAGGAACTATTGCAGTCATGTCACAGGTGGCATGGCAAGTATTTGCCCTCTTTATTCCAGTGACTGCAATCTGCATATGGTACCAGGTAAAATGCTTCTTTCAACTGCAATGATTATTCACTTGAATGATAGTCATAGAAAGTATTTCATGCTCTGTTGTGTTTGGGGTAAGGGCATTTATACATTGAAGTTTGTGGCTGTCAGCACATCTACAATCTGAATCTAATAGTTGAGATGATCACTGCAGCGATACTATACACCAACTGCGAGAGAACTAGCCCGCTTAGATGGGATTCAAAGAGCTCCAATTCTCCACCACTTTGCAGAATCACTTGCAGGAGCTGCAACAATCCGTGCTTTTGACCAAGAAGACCGCTTTATTGAGGCAAATCTCAGCCTTATTGACAACCACTCAAGGCCATGGTTTCATAATGTATCAGCAATGGAATGGCTTTCCTTCAGATTGAATATACTATCCAATTTTGTTTTTGCATTCTCATTGGTTTTGCTCGTGAGCCTCCCCGAAGGAATTATTAACCCAAGTAAGAATCATGAACATACATTGTTCTAAGGCAATTCTTAAATAGGTAGACCAGGAATAAGGTCCTATAAATCGCAAGCTAGTAGACACCACAAACATGTAGGTCATTTGGACCAACCACTCAATATTGTCCCATTAATGAAATATCCTACATAAAAAGTCAAAATGATTGCATGATCATAACCATTGTTTTATACAAATATTACCACAGGATATTTCCCATGTAGGATTTGTCAAATGGAGGGTCCTACTACCCTGCATGTTTTCCATTTATATCAGTCTTTTATGACCTTATGGTCTAGCCAAAGTGCGCATCTGATTTTTCATTCTCAAAACAAATATAGACATTTCCTGATTTTCATATCAAAAGTACCAAATAGAGCTTATTCCCAATTGGATATCTTAACAGGTATTGCAGGGTTGGCAGTGACATATGGGTTGAATCTGAACGTGCTGCAAGCCTCTGTTATATGGAACATGTGCAATGCAGAAAATAAAATGATTTCAGTAGAGAGAATTCTGCAATATTCAAAAATTACCAGTGAAGCCTCCTTGGTAATTGAAGAATGTAGGCCACCAAACAACTGGCCAGAAACTGGAGCAATTTGCTTCAAAAACTTGCAGGTAAAGCTTATAATGTAATATTTTAGTATGAATGATAATAATTGATTCATCATTCTGGAAAGCATAATATAGGACATATGTATTAAAAATGAGGAAAGATGTAAAATAGGTATTTGTTTTGAATGTCTGACTTGTGGAAGAAATTGTAGCTGACTAGTGTTCATGATATTTTATTTAGTGACTTCTATATTTCTTACCTCTTGTATAGTCAACCAAGGAAAAAGTAAATCAGGTAAATGCTAGATATATGTTAGTCATTGATGATTTCTGCAATCATCATTTTACTATATGTCATTAACCACTAATCCCCCATTCACCACTAAAGTTATTTCTGAAGGGCAATAATGCTCTTTTATCTGGTTAGCCTATGTAGAATACCTAGTCCAGAAAATAAAAAGTTCAAATATGCATACCCAGGCTGACAGTTTCTGTATGTAATGTCTAGACAAAGGTGGTCAGTCACAGTATGATGAATCCCACTTGGGATTCAGGATGGAACTAGGATAATTTCCCAATGTCAATTATTGTATATGTTCATTTCTAAGAAACCATTCAAGTTTCCAGCAATACTAATGACCAAGTACTAACTTACTCATAAAATAAGTTTTCATCTTTAGAGAATTAATAATTTATTTACTTATATAGTTATAAGTATATTTCTCAATGTTACAGATCAGATATGCTGAGCACCTTCCGTCTGTGTTAAAAAATATTACCTGCACATTTCCGGGAAAGAAGAAGGTTGGTGTTGTGGGACGAACAGGCAGTGGGAAATCTACTCTCATTCAAGCCATATTCCGAATTGTGGAACCCAAAGAAGGAACTATTGAAATTGATGGTGTGGACATTTGCAATATAGGACTTCATGACTTGAGATCCAGGCTTAGCATCATTCCACAGGACCCAACAATGTTTGAAGGAACAGTCAGAGGAAACCTCGACCCATTAGAGCAATATTCTGACAATGAAATATGGGAGGTGGATACTTCTGTCTGATAATAAGGCATTAATTGAGCAATTTATTTTAGATAAAACAGGGTGCAGGATCCATGTCAATTCCCTTACAGGACACATTTTAATTTATCTTGAAGGAGTGATAAAACTAGGATGGACGATGCAAGAAATTTTGCATGCCTCTTCCTGTACATGTTGCAACATCCAAGTGTTGGAACTCACTGGTTGTCAGTTAGGTCCAAATTGACCCAATTAGATGACCATATTCTTCTAATCTGTAAACTCTTTTCCTGAGCTTCTATGTATTGGTTGGCCATCAAGATGAATGTAATAACCTGATTGGTTTCCCTGGATCATCTGACCGGATCAAACTTCAGCAAAAGAAATCTCCATGGAGAGCAGAGCTTACCTAATACTCAATCCTATTCCCCTTGGATGTGTGCAAATGTACACAAGGCACATGCATTCCTCCCATCCAGATATCACTATTGTTCTCCAGTCATAGATAATCACAACCTACCCCGAATGAATTGTGAAATGCAAGCATCCACTTTTTTCATTTAAAAATGAAATATTTGAAGCAATTCTGACATTTTTCAGGCTCTGGATAAATGTCAACTTGGTGATTTAGTGCGTAGAAAGGAAGATAAATTGGATTCAACAGGTAAGATTGATCATATGAATTCTACTTCATAGTCAAGTTTTCTAACTTGAGAAGTTTGAAATCCTGATATATGTGGCTCTTACAGTGGTTGAGAATGGAGAAAACTGGAGCGTAGGTCAGAGACAGCTATTCTGTCTTGGAAGAGCCTTATTAAAGAAAAGCAGCATTCTTGTTCTAGATGAAGCCACAGCCTCTGTTGATTCTGCAACTGACGGTGTGATACAGAAGATCATAAGTCAGGAATTTAAAGACTGCACAATTGTTACCATAGCTCACAGAATTCACACAGTTATAGATAGTGATCTTGTTCTGGTCCTCAGTGAAGGTAAGCTATAAGTTATGTTTAAATTTTAGTATAAAGAAACAGAGAAAAATAAAGAAAAGGGGAAATAAGAAAGAACTAGATAGAATTGTGTCCTTAACAGTTTTATTGCTACAGATGAAATTATTATTGTGTTAACAGGAAGGGTTGTGGAGTATGACACCCCAGCAAAGCTACTTGAAAGAGAGGATTCATTTTTCTCAAAGCTTATAAAAGAGTATTCTTTGAGATCACAAAGTTTCAACAGCTTAGCGAATGTACAAAATACAATGCCATGACATACTTGGAACCATGGAACTTTTGAGAACATTCCAATAGAGAGATCAAATGTTGAGACACCAAACTGGAATTCTCAGGCATCCAGATAAAATGAAGAACAAACAAGATTTTAGTCTGAATACAAAACAGAACCGACTGCCTTGCAATGCAGTACATTCATGTGTATTATGTTTTTCAATACCAAAAATTGAATGCTAAGGTCCTTTTGTTTCTGTTTCTCATTCAGCACTTACTAATAGGTTGGCTGCACAAATCAAGCTCTGCCATTCTGTATTTAGATAGGCTCTTTTTCATTGCTAATTGCTGTTATATTGTAAAGATAGTCCTTCACTCATCTAACTGCTGCATTGATTAATGTTCTTTTATCTGCATAAAACAAGGACACCATAAAATCTTATGAAATTAGTTTATAAATATAATTAAAAAAAGAAAAACAAAATGAGCAAAGATCATCACTACTTGAACCTGAGTGCTCCTTGATCTAGCCTCGGTCTTGTCAGAACCTTCATGTTGGACCAAATCACTTCTAGTTTATGCACCTGTGGTCTTTGTTTCACATGAACAAACCGTAACAATCTATTATCTTGTGCACAATTGTTCCTACGGTCCTACCCCAGGTTCCCTTTAGTACACTTATTTGAAATCTTTTACACTTCCTAGTTTTACCACTTGTTCAACTCAATATCATCATCCCTGCCACAATTTGTTTATGGGCATGTTTCTTTTTCATCTTCCAACATTCCAATCCTTGAATCATGGTTTGTATCATATCCACTTTGAACTTTCCCTATTATTTTAGGGGTATGTACCGATCATGCAATGTTCCCTCCTTGTGAACCAATGTTGTCAAACATGGACCGGAAGGTCCAACCATCCGAACCAGGAATTGGAAGCCAAAACAGTGATTAGGTTGCATAGTTTCCAAAAATGCTGGCTTGGTTAAGCTTAGCACAAATACAAGTATAAATGCCTCTCATATCCCATGTTTTAAAACTTAATTTGATATAAAACAGGTTTAAAAACATTCCGGAATTTTTCCTTTTTCAAATTTTCTTTTTTTTTTTTCATTTTTATTTTAACTACTCAAATGGTTGAACCGGGTGTTCTAAAAGGGTTTTGTTTCTGGTCTGACTCTGACCAACACTGTTGTGAACAACTAAGCCCACTATGGAGTATAGGGTCGGCATAGACTGGAGGATTGAACAGGTAGCCACTCCAGCATGTCCCCTAATTAGTGGATGGTTCAGATAATCAGATATTCCTTATCAACTCTCAACATAGCAGAAATGGTGCAAGTCATGTAGGGAAGCTCCCTTCTTGATCCAATAAAAAAACTTTTTCCTATGCATGAATACGTATATCATATACCTACAGCAACTCTTACATAAAGCAGCATCGCTTTAACAGATTGAACTCCAAGAAAACGATTGTTTTATAAAGCATAAACCGGACCGAACCACAAGTGTCAATACATTGATGAGAAGCTTCATATGTACAATCTACATTAACAAGGTCAAAATAAAGTGATTTATATGCTAACAGATTGAACGGGATAAATCTAAATATGGTATGACATAATTCAAACAGGAGCGGGAAAAAATCCAAATCCAAACACAATAAACTAAGCAGAAATGTTGTATATGAAATTTCAGTTTTTCCTACAGCATCCATCCCTAAAATGTTTTCCTTTCCTTTGTCTCAAATGAATCAATAACTTCAGAATCCGCCAATACCCATGAATTCCAAACAAATTAAATGAAACAGGGTTACCGTTTTATTTATTATTCATTTTAGGAACAGGCATGTGAAATTTAATATGAAGCGTCTACAATTAAAAACATTTTGCAAAATCCCTCCAAACATGACTTTCATTCTTCCATTTTCTCTGATTTTTCCTTCACAGAAAAAAATAATCCCTAATTTGGCATCAATTTTGAAAGAGTAATTGGAAAAAAAATCTCTGATTTCTCTTTTCGGCTGAGAGTTTGAAGATGATGGTGGAGAAAAATAGAAAAGAATGAGAAAATGAGAAATCTATGATACGGGAAAGATATGATATGGAAAGAGTTTCAAAACCCACCCATGAATTTTGATAAATAACACTTGATTCATTACCACGTTTATGATTCCAGTTTATTGGTCAATTGTTTGTCCGATATCATATCTTTTCCATATCATAGTCGAACCCCCATTATATATAAGGTACACAAATATGCTACTATAGGTCTTTCGACATATGAATGGGAATAGTTTATTTTTTAAGGGTAAAAAATAAATAAATAAATAAATTACAAAATACCATTTAAAAAAACAAAAGACATGAGGTTGAACTAGAACAAAGCAATTCAGGTTATCATACTAAAATAGCATGGAGATCCCGAATCTTAATTTTTTTCATCCATCAGTCAATCACTACATATAATCTAAAATTTAGAAAACAAATGTTTGATAAATGAACCACAACACATTAAATTCAAAGGCTTTGATCAAGGCATGCTCAAGTTTCCCTAATTTTGATTTTCCAGGAAAAAAAATAAAGAAAGAATTGTCGGCAAATTAAGAAAGAATGTCGGCAAATTAAGAAAGATAGGATTTGCGGAAAATTAAGAAATATATGAATTGATTGATTAAGAGATTTGAATAAATTTAAGAAAGATTATATTTGAATAAATTTAGGAAAGTCAGATCTTAGGATTAAGGGAAAGATTTAGTCAATCCCTGATTGAAAGAAATTCTAGGGATTTGTCTTTCCTATCTTTTCTTATTTAAGGTGTATGCTCAATATGTTTTCATTGTCAATAAAGAAAATCTTCTTTTCTCCCTCTATATTTCACAACATGGTATCAGAGCCTTAGGGTTCGACCGTGAATTTTAAGGCCGCCATGGTTGGCTCAGGTTTAGCATCTTCGGATGCTACCAGTGGTGTGATGTCTTCAGAGGGAGGTATTTAGCCTGCGACTATTTCTCTTTCTGAGAATTCCCTTCAAATTACCATTCACAAATTGAATGGAAAAAATTATCTTGAGTGGTCTCAGTCCGTGCGGTTGGTGATTGACAGAAAAGGGAAACTCGGCTTCTTAAATGGCAAAGTGAAACCACCAGCCACTGATGATCCAAAGTACAAGCAATGGCGTTCTGAAAATTCTATGGTTACCGCCTGGTTGATCAACTCTATGGATCCGGTGGTTGGAAAACCATTCATGTTTCTGCCACCGGCTCGCGATGTGTGGGAAGCTGTTAGGGAAACCTATTCAGATTTGGGCAATCTTTCACAACTATTCGAACTGAATACCCGGATGTGGAAGATACAATAAGGTGAACGTGAAGTAACAACCTATTATAATGAGATGATGGTTGGTTGGCAGGAGTTGGATTTATTTGAAGAAGAAGAATGGAAAAGTCCCAGTGACAGTGCTCGGTACAAAAAGAAGATAGAAAGAGGCCAGGTTTTTGTCTTCTTGGCTGGTTTGAACAAAGAACTCGATGAGGTTCGAGGACGTATCTTAGGACGAAAGCCCTTGCCTACTATAAGAGAGGTTTTTTTCAGAAGTGCGTAGCGAAGAAGCACGGCGTCAAGTGATGTTGAAGAATGTTAGTGAAACAAAAACAGAGAATGAAGGGTTCGCTCTTGTGGCCCAAGGTGCAGACTTAGACGTTGATAAACGATGAGGAAAGCAAAGGCCTTGGTGTGATAATTGTAGAAAGCCATGGCATACTCGGGAAACCTGTTGAAAGCTGCACGGGAAACCGACGGGTTGGAAGAAAAAATCAGGCAGTGACAACAAGTCAATGGGAGATGTCCGCGCACTTCAAGTAAGCAACTCGGATCCAGGGTAGCAGTCATCCTCAAAGTCTCTTCCTTCACAAATGAACAAATAGAGCACTTATATAAAATGTTTCAATCTCAATCGTTAAGAAATTCTAACCCATCTTGTTCTTTAGCTCAGTCAGGTAGTTTCTTCACTGCAACCATTGCTTGTACAAAATCTAATGGCTCTTGGATACTAGATTCAGGTGCCACTAATCATATGACCGGCACTTCGCAATTCTTTTCTTCATATATACCCTATGTAGGGAATCAAAAGGTTAACAGATGGTTCCTTTGCTACTGTTGCTGGGAAAGGAATTGTATCTATTTCTCCTTCTCTAAACCTCAAAGATGTTTTGCATGTTCCTAACCTATCATACAATCTCTTATCAGTCAGAAAACTTACCCTTGATCATATTTGTCTAGTTAATTTTTGGTCTTCTTGTTGTGAATTTCAAGATTTAACCTCGGGGAAGATGATTGGGGGTGCTAAACAGAATGGTGGTCTCTACCTCTTTAATAAAGGATCTACCTTTAGAAAGCAAGACCGACAGACTTGTTTTAGCTCTATCTCTGTTTCTAGTGACAGTGAAGTTTTGTTATGGCATTATCGATTACGACATCCAAGGTTTCAATATTTAAAGCATCTATTTCCCAATTTATTCATGAATAAAAATCATTCACTTTTCAAGTGTGAATCTTGTGAATTAGCAAACATCATCGTGTTGTTTTTCAGTCTCAACCATATAAAAAATAAAAACCATTTACCATGATTCACAGTGATGTTTGGGGCCCTTCTAGTGTAACAACTCTTTCTGGAAAACGTTGGTTCATTACTTTTATTGATGATCATACTAGGGTAACTTGGGTTTTCCTTTTAAAAGAGAAATCTGATGCTGAAACTGTATTGAAAAATTTCTATAACATGGTTCAAACACAATTTCAGACTTAGATTAAAATTTTTCAAAGTGATAATGGAAAGGAATTTTTTAACAATGTGTTAGGGAATTTTTTTGCTGAGAAAGGAATTGTACACCAAAGTTCGTGTAATAATACACCTCAACAAAATGGGGTGGCTGAAAGGAAAAACAAACATCTCCTTRAAGTTRYTAGAGCCMTAAGYTTTCAAACTAAGGTTCCTAAGTATCTTTGGGGAGAAGCCATTTTAACAACCACTTATTTGATTAACTCTGCCTACACGAATTTTGGATTTTAAAACACCCATACAGGTTTTCATTGACTGCTTTTCAAATTCTCGGCTAGTGACAAACATTCCCTTAGAAATTTTTGGAAGTGTGGCCTTTGTTCATAACCATGATCCTAAACATTTAAAACTTGATCCAAAAGCACAAATGTATTTTTGTAGGCTATCCCACTAATCAGAGAGGGTACAAATGCTTTGATCTAGTTTTGAAAAGGATGTTTGTGATTATGGATGTCACATTCTTCGAAGGAACCTCGTACTACAACAACTCCCATCTTCAAGGGGAGAGCAACACTAGTGAAGATGGTTTTTTAGATGGTTC